ACACACACACACACACACACACACACACACACACACACACACACACAGAGAGAGTGCAGTCAGACTTCTCACTGAAACACGAACAAAGAGCTTGATCATCCTGTGCTGCTGTATTCATCTCTATCTTGCGATGTATCTTTTTCAAGCCGACGTTCATCATTTTCATTTTGTCATCGAACTGACTTCTGTTACTCAACTACAGACTCTACAGTGCTGGTGTTTCACAGGCCAGCAGCATGCAGGTATAGAGCGTGATCATCAGCAAGGCACAGAGGCTGACGTGCTGCTGGAAAGACTCGCTAGTTTCGCTTCCTGGTTCAAAGATATGAATACACTTGTGTTTTTACATTTTTTTTAAAAGTGACAATGTAGGCCAGTGTGTTGTTTTGGTTCCTGTCCCACAATCGGAAACATTTGTAGCCATTTGCTGTGATTTAATTATCGCAAATGTTACGGACTCGGACATAAGAGAAAGAGTTGACCTTACGACCTGACTGCTTCTTTGTGTTCATCTGTAAGTGAACAACTCTGTGAAAGCTTGTGTTACTACTAGATATCATTTGCTTGGTTGACACACATACAAACTACATAATGAGGATTATCACAGTTTAACAGCTAGCCTGAAGCTGGGACGCTGGAACTTAAGTATTGAGACATAATCTATCAATGTTGTTGTTTTTTTCCTACAATCTGACTAGAGCTGCAAGTATTCTCAGTTCACCAATATAATTTACCAGATGATGTCTTGTTTTGTCCAACCAACAGTCCACAATCCAGAGATATTAACTTCACTGTCATTTACCAAACCATATAGGTCAGGGCCAGGCGGTAACTTCCGGTTGCACAAAGAAGTTTTTTGGGAAATCTATGAGTCTCAAATTTTCTTCGAAACAGCATGATGTTCATTTAGTAAATTCTGGTCCCATTTTAGAGTAAAATATAAAGCAGGGGATGCTTTAGGGCGGGCTTACTGTGATTGACAGGCCACTGCCGTTACCAGAGCTATATACAGCGCAGCACAGCAGCAACGCTTGAAATTAGTTATCCATGTTGAAATGAATTACAGGTCGCCCTGGCTGTTTGTTTTCTTCCGGGTACGGGTCACGTGATAGTGAGTGTGACGAATCAGGGACGGAGACGTCATGGCTGCTAATAACCAATCCAGTAGCGAGCACGGGTGCGGGCTCATTTTTTCTAACGCACATCCGTTTCCGACCGTCCACACGCAACCAAAACCCCGGAGTTTTGAAATACCTCCAACCTCTGGGGAGTTTTCAGACTCCTCCGTTTAGGGTGCTCCAAAACTCCGGCGTAGTGTGGCCACTCAGTGTAAACGTAGCAAATGCGGAGTAAAAACGGAGTAATGTGGACATGGCCTCAGCAGGGCAGGGATTGGACAGTGATTGATCGGCGTCTGGACCGCTCGCCGAGCACACGGTGATTGACAGGTGTCCCGCAGAGCCGAGGGTCCCCCCCCCCTCTCTTGCTGATGAGGAAGATGAATGCCTCTGTGTGTTTGTTCTCTGGAGAATAGAGCAGCAGAGTGTCCGTTTGTTCTTCTCCGCTTTGCCTCATTTTCCCTCTCTATATTCCAGGAAAGTTTCAGCGGTTATGGCTATGGAGCCACTTCTCCCTGTACAGACTGTGTTTAGATTCTCACATGAGGATGTTTGTCATCTAAACATCTACCTCTTGAGGATTGATTCAAATGTTGCTCTTCCTCTCTAAACATGTTCAGGCTCCCTGGGTTTGACAGGGTCCCCAGAGCTCAAGGTGATCCAAGATATTAACTCCTCTCTATCATACACATCAAGGAAAAAGGAAGCAAAAGATTTGCATTTTGCCTTTACTTTCCTCTTCTTTTTTTTTCTTTTTTTTTTTGTCTGTAGCACAGTTTCTTGCTGTGTCAATGCGTGTCTATTATGGACACTGTCCAGTAGGGACGGGTTGATATACCGGCCAATGTTGCGTGTTTTAAAGTCAGCATTGACATTCATATCTGCGGATATGAACAAACACAGAGAAATGACAAATCTATGTTTGCACGTCTTGACCGTGGTAACGAAAATGAATCTTGAAAGCTCAAAAAAAAAAAAAAGCCAGTAAGTGAACCTTTGTGTTTTTTTTATTTATTCTGAATTGTTTGAGGTTATTTAGAAACCATGCAGGTGTATTATAAAGTATATATCAGACTCCACGTCCTTTCTCTTCTGTGAAACGGTTTTAAATGTTTGATGACTCGTCCTGCACTCGGGGGCGTTTTTAAAAACGCATTCAGCCAATCAAATGCAACTTTTGGTGAATCACTGCAAATCATAAGTACATGCAGATGAGCATCTGGCGGGCAGAGTTGGAGCTCGGGCACTGGCCGCATGGAAGGAGGCCAGGCTCCATTTATCTGCATGTACTCCCTGGGGACTCCGCTGAGACTCTATAGAGTCGGCAACTCTCGGTAGCACACTCAGATTGCTGCCGATGAAAATGTAAAGTTTGGTGACGATGGGGCCCAGATGAGGGGTCACAATCATGGTGACTAACATGAAGCCATTCAGGTGCTTTAAAACAAAACGTATTGGACCGTTACACTTTGGACTGATTGATTGGAGTCATATCGAACTGACGTTTTTTCAATCTGACAAACAGTTTTATGTATTTTTACCGGACCATTTATATTGCTGCTGCACACTCTAGGTGATGAATTTCTGTGGTGGCTTTGTTTGTGTTTGGTGCAGCGTGTGAGCAATAATCCAGGTGAGCTCTAAGCACTGACCGCTCAAGGTTTGCACAACAAAGCAGCAGCTTTCTGTCGTGTGGTTCAACACACATCAGGAGATGGAGGGGAAGCCATTTTCTCCCCTTTAAGCCAATGACATGAACGCAGCACCTTATTGTACCGCCCTGTTTCCTATAGCTTCAACATGAGTCAAATGAAACGACAAGAGTGGACATGACCGGTGCATGTCGCGCTTTAGCAAATAATTAAGATGAATAAGTTTCAATCGTGTTTGCCTGTAACCAAAGATGTGGGTGTGTCTTGGTTCAGGGGATCAGGTTACATTGTCCCAGTCTTACCCGTATGTTTCTCTTCCGTATATTGTGCACAGCTGAGACAATTAAAGGTGCTCCTGTTTAACCCCCATGTTTGCTCGCTACCAGTGCTCTTCTTCCCTGCCTATTTTGGCTTTGTTCCTTTGTTTCTTGGCTGTCAGTCATCTTAATGGACCCTTTTTGTAAGCCGTCGTCATGTTTACGTCACTGTGTAAGCTGGAGGCAAAACAAAGGAAAGACTGGAGGCTTGACATTGCACACATTTGAGATGATAAACTGGTTTGGGGCTTTAGCGAGCTGCGATGTCGGCAAAGTGTTTCAGGGAATTGGAAAATTTACAAAGCAGCCCAAATACATGCTATTGGTGCTTTTATTATTATTTTTTTAAATTAAACTACATTCCCATGAGCCAATTAGCATCTTGTTTCTGTTGCTTATGTGAAAAGTATAGTCTAGAAAAATATTTTACATCTAGTGCACCTGAAATTAAAGACTGTAGAGATGCTGAAGAACAATGTTTTATTGCTCTAAACGTATAAAGGATTCAGCAAGTGGCCACTTTTCTCTCATTCACGAGCTGTTTTGATGAACACTTGACTGGCCCTGTTGTTGTTGCACATTGTAGTCTCGGCGCGGCTGCTGTTCTTTGCCCCGTTTCTATCGCCCTCCTCTCTTTCTCTGCTTATTTGTCCGTGAACCCTCTCAGCTGGGCCTCGTCCCCCCCCCTTCTCTTCCTGTCCCCGTGCTATTTTCTCTTTGCTTCCCTTTGCTTCTGTCTTTCTCTTTTTCGCCAACCACTTCTCTTTCTGTCTTTTTTCATCAGCGTGACGGGGCAAATGCATTTGCTACTGTCTCCGTCGCAGACGGCCCCGGTTGCTGATGATTGTAGCCGATGAGCATCACTGTGTGCATCCATGGATTTAACTGTTGGTACACCGTTGGGGAAATAACATGTTCTTGAATTTAACAGTGATTGTTTTGAGGTCAAAGTGTTTACGCACATAAAGGCCCATGTTAAACCAGCCTGTCCTTTTGAAGAAACCGGTAAATGTTTGGTTTGCTTTTTCATTTCCCCTCTTCCTCCTTGTCCACTTTGTTCCTGTCTGATTTCAGCCTTGCTCCCTCGCCCCCTCTTCTCTGCCATGCTGTCAGTCGCTTCGACAAGAATAGGAAATGGTGTTTCTTTTTGGCAGAATAACAAAAAGTGGCCCATGTGGCAGTGGAAGACATCGACAGGAGTGTGTGTGTGTGTGTGTGTGTGTGTGTGTGTGTGTGTGTGTGTGTG